GTACAAAAAGTTATTTATTAATGGAGAAAGGCCACAAGCGTGGAGTTTGTCTGAAAGGACTTCAACGGAAACTGAATCAAAAGCCCCCTTGATATCCAAGAATACAGAAGCCATTTGCTCTTTTTTAGCAAAAGCCAACTGAATTTCTGTGGAAAGCAACGCGAGACAGTCGTTCGTTCCCTTGCCCCTACGGAATCCAAATTGAGTATCTGAGAGTAGGTGGTTCGTCTCAACCCATTTGTCCAAGCGAAAAAGAATCATTTTCTCCAACAATTTTCGAATGCACGATAACATCGCGATGGGACGATACGAGTTATGATCTGATGCGGGTTTTCCAGGCTTTTTAATGGCTATAACTCTCACTTGCCTCCAATCATCCGGAACAATATTGAGCTCCAGGAACTGACAAAACAAGTTCAACATGCGCCTCTTAGCGACGTCTGGGAGGTTCTTCAACAAGTTGAACTTGATTCTATCAGCCCCCGGAGCCGAATTGCCACACGAAAGAAGCGCGAGTGAGAGTTCCAGCATTGAAAAAGGCTGGCTGATCTCGTCTACAGAATTCGTCGTTCCGCGAGGAATCATCTGTGCCGGCACGGAATCAGGACATACTTTTCGCGCGAACTTGAGAATCCAACGATCTGAGTACTCCTCGCTCTCGTTGTTCGAAGACCGGTTACGCATCCTTCGCGCCGCGTTCCAAAGCGTATTCATCGACGTTTCGCGCGATAATCCGTCCACGAATTGCCGCCAGTATCCGCGTTTCTTGGCTTTGATGAGGCTCTTGAGTTCGCGTTCAAGAGCCGAGTACGCTTCGAAATGTACGGGTGTTCCACGTTTCCGGAAAAGCTTAAACGCGTCGGACTTTTTACGATAAACCTCAGTGCATTGCTGGTCCCACCAAGGGGAAGGAGGTTTCCTACGGAAAGACGTTCCTGGAACCGGCCGAGTTTGAGCTTGGAGCGCGCTGTCCAAGATCAGATTGGAGAGGAAGTTATATTCCTCCAACGGTGGAAGCCCTTCTACCGACGTTAGGGCATCTTCTATCACATTCTTGAACTTTGTCCAATCGATATTACGGGTAAGATCGTACGCGACGTTAACGGATTCCGACGGATTGAACCCACTGGCAATCGAAATTTTGATCGGCAAGTGATCACTACCGTGGGGATCCTGGATCACATTCCACGTGCAATCCAACGATAATGAGTTAGAGCAAAGTGTGAGGTCTAATTTACTTCCATTCGAAGATGGTCCAGCCAAACGTGTTACTTCTCCATTGTTAATAATTATCATATTGAAGTTATCACAGAGGTCATATATAAAAGTAGAACGGTTGTCATCATACAGTTCCCCCCAGCCTGTACCGTGGGAATTAAAATCTCCCATGATCAACCGTGGAGCAGGAAGTACTGAACATATATCTGAAAGTTGTTTTCGATTAACAACGGCTCTAGGAGGAATATAAACAGAAGCAATACAAAGGCTCTTACCTTTAATAATAGCCTGACATGCGACAACTTCAATACCTGTAAATTGTGGAAGATTCACTCTATAGAAAGAATGGCACTTTTTGATCCCCAAAAGTACCCCTCCTCCACGCGAATCCTCACGATCCAGTCGAATAATGTTAAAATCATAAAAAGGAAGATCTATATCTGAAGAGAGCCAAGTTTCACAAAGAGCAAATACATCACAATCATTATTGTGAACTAAAAACTTAAAAGAGTCTAATTTAGGAATAAGACTTCGACAATTCCACTGTAGAATAGTGATCAAATCCCCGACCTCGTTTGGAAAATTATCCATCGAAGGAAATGATTGCTGCAATGAGGGGCCACTTCAATGTCAATTGCTTCAAGAGGGTCTTCACAGTAGGAAGCATTGCCAGAACAATGCTTTTGAGAGGATCATAAATATTCAGGTACTTGAGAATATCGTCCACAATGTTATCAAATGAGAACAACCCAGATGAAGAAGGGGCTTCTGTTCTTAAAAATGGGACATCAGGGGTTTTGGATGTCCCCGGGAGAGGTGGAAAATCCTGGGTATAGTCAGTTCTTCTGAATCCAGGAGGAGTAGAAACTTCCTTTTTTCCACCACTCCTTGATTTGGGCAAGCTGATTTGGGGTTCTTCATTCTCAACTTTCCGCGAACGGATGCGTTTTCGTTTCCGTGCTGAAAAACAGAAAGAAGTTCCCTCCTCAGCCAAGTCAGAGTCAGTCTCGTCATCTGACAAAAGAGAAAAGGGATTTTTGTCGTTGGTCGATGGCGTGGCCGTCTTAAGCATTTCTGCAAAAGACTGCCGGGAACGTTCCTTAAGTGAGCGTTGTAATTTCTCCCCGCGTTGTTTGTACACCGGGCATGACGAGATACCATGAGGAGTTCCCTTACAGTACACGCATTTTGGTGCGGTAGCTGCACAGGTGTCATCCCCATGCTTCTCTCCGCATTTGGAACAGCGTGCCTTGCTGCCACAGTGGGAGGCCGTATGTCCCAACTGCTTACAGTTTTGGCAGTTCATGACCCGGGGAACGAACAAACGCACAGGTAGTCGAAGTTTTCCCAGCTCGATGTAGTGAGGAAGGGCTGAACCAGAAAAGGTCACACGGAACGAGTCTGTGGGGGTAAAACTCTTTTTACCCTCGCTGACAGATACTGAGCCCAGTTTTTGGACATCCAGTATCTTCACCGGAGGAAGCAAACGGTTCTTGAAACGGCCAACCGCCTGCTTCTCCAAGATCTCGGGGGTCAGACTCGCTTCGGTGACCACACCTTCGATCTCCACATCACGAGCTGGGATGTAAACTCTGTACTCGAGCGTGAAGAGCTGGGAGGCAGCAATCTCGTTAGCCTGCTTCAGGTTAGAGACGGAGACACGAAGTTTATTGTGCCTAACCTTCGTGATTTCAGTCACGGCCGAGTATCGCTTCGTCAGATCATTAGTAATTTGCATTACATTCAAAGGCTTGTTTCTGGGCTGAAAGTAGACAACCCATGGGCCAGTCGAGTCATCTGGATAGGCTCGCGATCGGGGGTTTATCTGAGCCTGTCCTTTGCCAGACTGAGACGATGAACCAGGGAGAGATGACGTACGTTTTCGACCCTTCTTGTCATCGCGTGGCAAAGTGGTGTCATCTTCCGACAAAACGTCCATTTCGTCTTGCGACAAAATGTCCATTTTGCCGTACTAGTGGGAGCGAAAAACGCTCTACCACTGATACGATAATCACTGGGACACAATACACAAAAAAAAAAAAACTACAAACACAGAACACAAACTTAAAATTTAACTGTGGGCGAAAGAGAGAAACAAGAACAAAAACTTATCTGATAATCCTATACTACTACCACCGAGCGTTTAAACGGCAGCAGCGGAGCGACGCGCAGCGTGGATGATCTTCGATCAGCGTGTGCGGGCGGTCTTCGTTGGTGTGTGCTTATGTGAGGGTCGGCACTCAGCTGAACACACGATGATAGATGAGCGGTGTAAATGCGGAGGCAGATGCTGACACTCGATGACGATGATCCGTGTGCAGGTATGCGTTACCACGCACCGATGGTGCGCAAAATGGTTGGCGAATTGGCAATCGTAAAAACAATTTTCCTTCCGATGATGCCGAAAACACACTTTCTTCTCAGAAAAAAACTCACTTTTAGTTAATTATTTAGCTGGGAACTCTAAGCGAGAAAAAACTGACAATTTAAATCAAGCGAATAGCGAGAAAACTTCCAAAATAGCGGAGCGCGAACTAAGTCGACCGTACTTCTTGCTAGGACGCAGTGGGAGTGAACTGAAAGAGATGATTCGAATGTTTTTTCTCGCGAGCATTCTCACCAGCATCATCTCTGAGAGATGAGTCGCCTGATCAGTGAAAAGAAAAGCACTAGAGTGAACTGTAGTGTTTCACTCGGGTGCGTCACCGCGGTAAATATTATGAATGTAAATAGTAAATCTTCTTTTAGCAGTTGTATTGCACAGTATCTGCAGCGTGCTGTAATTTCCCGCAAAGAGGAAATTTAGCAAAATGTCCATTAACAGACTTCCTGCAAGTTATAAAGAAAGTACGGCAACAGGATTAATTCAAGTTGCTATAAAGTTATTGCAGAGAGAACATTCTTCTTGCACAAATTAAACAAAAAAATTGTGATGTTGCATCCTCATAAACTACATATTTGCCAAATTTAATTATGACCAGCTAGCTGGTAAAATTTCTCTACTGTTAAGGCACAGTAATAAACAGCATCCCGCTGCGAGTTTGCATTCCATTATTGTTACAGCTCAGCCCAGCATCAAATCAGGACTAATTTATGGAATCTAATTTAATCATTGAACTTGAACCTTGTCGTTTTTTTTTTTCGTTCTACAATGAACCGACAGCCATACATATGTAGTGAGGAATGCGTTAGGGCGAGTGATAGTGAGTGTGAGCGTTGTGATAGATTTAGATCTGCAACTTTTCAGCGATTGTTAGCTACATTGGGAACATTAGATAAAGAATGGCGGCGTGCCGGCGTGGCCTATTGATATGTAAATTAATCGAAGCTAATAGATGTATCATGTCAAGCTATTACGGACTATTGTGGATATTCTTACAGGGCTTTGAGGTGGAAAGCGTGAGAAAATGTAGGTTCACGTTATATGGTAGTTGAATGTGAGAATATGATCGTAGATGATTATATACATCATGAGTACTGGCCATAAACGCATAACTGTCCCATCTCTGTTTGAAGTTTTATTCATATGGGACAGTTGTACTTTTATGGGAAGAGTAGTCCTCGATTAAATTAGCTGTAAAATATTCAGTCGGATTCAGAGATTCACACCGATATCTTGAAATCTTTGGACCAGTTAAGATACAAACCCTGTTTGAGATCATATTTTACTCAATGTCTGTTTAATAGAATCGTAAATGTCATTTGAAATATAATCTACTAATAAACCTGCCAATTTACTATTATAAACACTTACGTTTCTTCTCTTTTTCTCTATGCAATAGGTCCAAATCATGACAGTGAAAAATCACCGTTCCTACCCACGGAGCCGGTTCGGCTCACACCGGCGTGGGAGGAAAACAATCTTCCCAACGATGAACTCAACTTCAAAGGTAAGTGTAACCGGAGAGCTGATCGATGAGCTTCCATCACACTGAGGAGGACGAGTGTGGTAGTGAATATGTATGTTGTGCTCGATTTTCTTCGTCGAATTTCCACACCTTGTTTTGTTTTCGCTAGACGTTGGGTACAGTCTACCTTTGTTTAAAACGGTGTTAATAAGGCGTCGGAATCATGGTAGAATTTTTATTTTGGATAGTTGATTACACATCCTACTAAATTTAATTCGCAACAACAGAGGCTCAATAGAGAAATGACAACTTATTCAGAATACAAATTAAAGGGTGGAATGGTCAAAAATTGGCCGACTCAAATTTGATTGCGTTGTAATGAACGATGAAATATACGTCAAGGTGGATTTCAAGCAACTCCCAGGGCAAGAGTTTACTCGGCTACCGGAAAAGGAAAGGTTTACGATAAGTTTAAGCAGAGAAAATAGTCAACGTTCCCGAAAAAATACTTGGTTTGGCAGGCGATTTGCACCTGTGAGCTGAAAAGCTAAATTTACTGGCATTGTCAACCAAGATATTTATGAAAAGAAATATTTTCAAAAACGATTGCTGCCTTTTTTGAAGACACACAGTTGTTCCATAGAGGTAACTCTAAGACTCAGCTCTGGTACTCTCAAGACTAGGTAGGCTAGTGAAGTAGTGAGCCAATTTAAAATCGTTAGTTCCACCGGTTGGTTGTTCCGTGCTGTTTTGGCCATACCTCGCTACCTGTCACTACGGGAAAATGGCTCAGGAACGGTATACCACCGACGAACCAACGAGACCAATTCGTGCCCAAGACCCCATATTTAAAATACTTAAAACACTACCGACATCTACTCACCCGATCACGTCATACCATGAGCAAGGACACGGAGAAAAAATACTGCCCACAATTTGAGTTCTTTTTATTTAAAGGGTGATACGGTCAAAATTTGGTCGTTTATTTAAAAAATCAAATTAAATTTCTTTTTCAAGTTCAATTAGTATAAAATTCAGGAAAAATATTCAGTTAGGCTTCCGCTTTTCCAAATCCGAATTGCCGGGCCTTACGCTTGACCCCTGCCATCAGATTTTGTACAGCCACCTTGTCCACCTTCTTCGCCGCAGAAAGCCAGCTTGCCTTGAACTGCTGCTCGCCCTTAGCAGTTTTTTTGGTCTTCTTTAGGTTCCGCTTGACAATAGCCCAGTATTTCTCAATTGGGCGGAGCTCTGGCGTGTTGGGAGGGTTCTTGTCCTTGGGAACCACCTGCACGTTGTTGGCGGCGTACCACTCCATGGCCTTTTTACCGTAATGGCAAGATGCCAAATCCGGCCAAAACAGTACGGAACAACCGTGTTTCTTCAGGAAAGGCAGCAGACGTTTATTCAAACACTCTTTCACGTAAATTTCTTGGTTGACAGTCCCGGAAGCTATGAAAATGCTGCTTTTCAAGCCACAGGTACAGATGGCTTGCCAAACCAGATATTTCTTTGCGAACTTTGACAGTTTCATGTGCTTGAAAACATCTGCTACCTTTCCCCTTCCTTTTGCCGTATAAAACTCCTGTCCCGGAAGCTGCTTGTAGTCGGCTTTGACGTAGGTTTCGTCGTCCATTACCACGCAGTCAAACTTCGTCAGCATCGTCGTGTACAGCCTCCGGGATCGCGCTTTGGCCGTCGTATTTTGTTTATCATCGCGATTTGGAGTCACTACCTTCTTGTAAGTCGATAGTCCGGCTCGTTTTTTGGCTCGATGCACGGTTGTAGACGATACACCCAGCTTATTTGCGGCATCTCGGAGAGAGAGGTTAGGGTTTCGCTTGAAACTACCGGCAACTCTCTTTGTCGTCTCAGCGGCTTCCGGTTTTCGATTTCCCCCCGATCCAGACGTTCCCCAAACACTTTAATTACATTTGTAACGGTTGATTTGGCAACTTTTATAACGATTTTGCCAACTTTGCGTGCGAGTAGCTCGGATTTTCGCGATGCGCGAGCAAAATTTTGATACGCTGCTCTTCTTGCTTGGACGGCATTTTGACAACTGAAGAGTGAATTCCAAAATCAAAATAGGAGCAACATTCTACACACACACACCTTCAAAATGAGGGGTGTTCAGGTTTTTTAAATGCAAAATTGAAAGAAATACGTCAAGTTGATATTGACCAAATTTTGACCGTATCACCCTTTAATATTGAGTTCAGCCCAGGGTTGCTTCCACTCACTTGCTATAAAACAATGTTTTTCGGAATTATGAAATCATTAGATGATATAATAATATTTTGTACTTGTAAGTAACAAGAAGATGGTGTAAAGTATGTGTTTGACTCATAAAAGCTGTCAATTTCACTTTCAGAGCGTCACAATCCGCAATCTTATGATTCGCGAGCGTTCACTCAGAGTGAGCGCTCACGAACCGTTAAATCGCTGATTGTGACGCACTGAAAACAATATTGACAGGTTTTAGGGCCAAACACATACTTCACGACCTCTTCTTGCTACTTACAAGTTCTTATGGTCATTATAATATCTAATGTTTTCATAATAAGGAAAAATATTTTTTAATAGCAAGTGAGTGGAAGTAACCCTGGTTCAGCCTCTCACTTGTACTCTTTATTGTTGTCAAAAAAGTAACGCGAGATTCGACCCAACGATATAGTTCAGCCCAATAAGTTACTTTTGAGTAAATTGCATATTCTCAAATTAACGAGCATTAAACTTATTTCTGGGTAGAATATACTTAAGAGACGGTATTTTTTTCTGGTGTTAAATGGAAACTACTATATGCGATTTACTCAAAATTTGGGTTATTAGGCTGAACCCCGGAATTGAGGGGAAAGTACTTAATTTTGGGTAGTTTTTCATCTCTGTGCACGTATAATTTATATTGCCTTGGTTTGCGTCTCACCTCGTTTGACAGATCTGATCGCCCGTTTGAAATTTCGAATCGCTCGTTTGACAATTCGAATTGTGGACAAACGAAATGCTCCTGTGGCATGTTGGTTCGTCAGTTGTTATATCAACCGGTTGAAACTAACGATTTTAAATTGGCTCACTACCTGATTAGCCAATTGGTCCCAAGCAAATCGATTAACGTACCCCATTATAGTCGAAATTCTAGTACTACACTATGTTTGTTTTGATTCGCTATGAAAGTTTGACAGATAAAATGAGTGGTTCGTGGATTTTCCTATGTTTCGAGGGGTGCATCGATTAGCTTGGGACCGAAGAGAGTACCAGAGTTGAGCCTAAAAGTTGAGCACGTTTCTTCGGGACCTACTACACTAAGGAAAATTCAATGCTAATTTTTATGTGTCCCACTCATGAATTTTTGCAATGTGATAAACAAATGATACATATGTGTCGGACACATAGTTTTTATGTATACACATAAAATTCATGTGTTGTAACGATGTTACAAGTACACAAACAATAAAACAATTTTTTTTTTAATTCTTTATTAAGGGGAAGCTCACCGGCCCAAAAATAAAAAAATATTTTCGGTACGTTTTTATTTTTCTAAAAATATTGGGAAAAATTATCAAAAATCCAAGAAAATCAGTTTCTTCCTTAGATTTTTGTCAAAAATTACATGCAAAAAAATTTTTTCTATGCCATCATAAAAAAAAATTGGACTCTCATAAAAACCGAAAAGTTGATGTTTTGTGGTTTTTTGAGTCCAACTTTATGCCATAATGACTTATAAAACATGTTTTTGCACGTGAATTTTCTTTAAAAAAATTAGAAAAAATGTGATTTTTTTAGATTTTTGATACTTTTTTTCAATATTTTTAGAAAAATCAAAACGTAATTTTTTTTTCGGAGCGGTCTGCATCCTTAGGCTAGTTCATCTCTAAACAATAAAACAAAATCAACAAGGGATAAAAATAATTAAATGCATGTAATACTTTCTCCGTGTAGCAAATCCGCGTCTCTGATCCCTTCTTGTTGCGATTCCACAGTAGAGGCTCAATTGAGATCTTTTAATCTGTGCGTTTGAAAACGGATACACACGAAAAACGACGAAGAATAACGATCTCGGAAATCGTCGGAATATTCGGGGTAAAGGCCTATGAATTTTGTAATAGGCGATCTCTCAGGCCCAGACCGCGGAAAAGTCAGGATCGAAAAGTTCGGTAGGCTGATAAAACTCTAGTGCAAGCCAATAGTAGTGAAAGTGTGCGACATAGTTAGTGCCAAGGAAAAACGATTACCGTGCTATTGCACGTAATGCTAGAAATTTTAAAGAACGATTTTTAGTGCACATGTAAGAAAAAAACCTGTTTATAAAAGTGTAAAACCAATCTAGAAAATATCCAATTTCATTATAGAGTTAAGTTTTTAAAAAACGTGCCTTAGAAGTAATTCCGTACAGTATTGTACCTTGTGTGTACGGTTGCCAGGTAACTATAACTTTAAACGTGATCTAAAAAAAAAAAACTTAATTGTAATGTCGAATATGTATTCACTCGAAGAACTTCCTTCGAGTGAAGGTGCACCCCTAGGGCGCCACGGGGTCAGTTCTAATCGTTAGCCACATAGAACGGGCGTCTTCGGCCGATGAGGCATATAACATAGCCAGTCCTAACCTCGAACTCTCATTGACGAGAATCATCAATGTGGTCCGGGTATCCCAACCGTCCGTCGCATGGATTTATTCACCACACGCGGTTTTGCATACTTTCCGCCAGGTGAAGACCCTAGCGTTGAGCTCACCATTCGCCATTCGAGTAACGCCCTGTTGCGGCTAGTCGCCGGCAGGTAGCCAAGTAGTCAAGTACGAAGTATTACACGTGTGAATTTCGTCGGCAAGTGCACTTGCAGGAGGTCACGTGCACAACGTAGGACGACGAAGGAAGAGGATAAGGATCAGGGAGTTCAGGAATAGGATTAAAAAAATCAGGAAAGCGGAAGAAAACAAGTAAGACCGAACCAAATTGTACAATTATACTAACCCTGCTATAAAAACACTTTCGAGTCGATAGATAATATACAAACGAATGTCTTTCCTTTGAAAAATGTTT